GAGGAAGATCCGGTGATCTTTAACCTTTTGTACTAATCGACGATTTAATGAATTGGCAGTTTTGAAGATGTAGATATAACGTGCTTTCCTTGCAATAGAATGAATTTGATCGCAGTGTTTTTTAGTTTGTTTTTTCAAGTGAAAAGTTGGCGTTTGCTCAAATGACGTATATGAAATGTCCTGCTATATAGCAATGCATCAACACATACTATTAAACTTAGATGCTCAGAGGTGTGTTCGTCTTTGTAATTAACAAGTTACATACATAATTATTACATACGATATTTATTTTTTTTTGTGTCTGCGCCCGTTTTATTAGATGGGATAGGTTCCGAATGCTGCTAGAAGAAAGCAGCACAGAAGACCTAACACGCAGAATACAGTTGGCCATGGCCGGCGAAAAAAAGAAGAGTACGGAGTACGAGAAGACTCACCCGCGCCAGACCTGCATTTACTTAACCTATGGGCCAGTCGCATTCAAGCCTTAAAACGGTACAGAAAAAATAAACGAGAAAAAAAAAACTCGATATTAAGCTCAATCTTGCTACGGCTCGAGCAAAAAGATACACACTGGAGCTTAGTCGGCTAAAATGGCAAACGCACTCTGCATCCTTGAACGAGAAGACGGGGCTAGGAAAAGCATAGCGCACGTACAAAGGGTTGTGCGGAAAGACTAAAAGCAAAAGGATGGGAGCCAACCTGGCTCTCAAACTTGGAATATCAGAAGCTGAGTTAGCAATTCAGGCTGGAAACAGCTTCTTCCCGCAGCCCACCACTTCCCCCCTAAGCACCTGCTGCAAATAATTGCAAACGGACGACCAAGCACCAGAAGACGCTCCTTTTAACAAGGAGGAACTGCTGGCGGCCATAGCCACAAACAAACGAACACAGCACCGGGACCCGACCATGTAACTATTGCTGCTATAAATAACCTCCCAAAAAAAGAACAGGAGGAACTTTTGGAATGGTGCAATCAAATTTGGGAACAAGGCACCCTACCCAGAGAGTGGAAACACTCCATAGTAGTTCCCATACCCAAACCTGGCAAGCCAGCCAACGATATCGGAAACCTAAGACCGTTTTCTCTCACCTCTAACCTGTGTAGAATATTGGGGAGAAAGGTTTCAGCCCGTGTTACATGGCTCCTGGAAACACAAAGTAGACTGCACCCTATGCAAACAGGATTTAGGCAAGGCCTCTCAACGCAGGACAGCTTGGCCATGATACACCGAGACATAACCTCTACTCCCCCAAAAGGACAACTCGTACCATCGTGGCAATTCACATTAAAAAGGCATTTGATTCCATACCGCATGAAATGGTCATAAAAGCGGCCGAAAAAGGGGGCATTCGAGGCATACTGCTGAATTTTTTAAAGTCCTTCTTGCAGGACAGGACTTACAGTGTTCACGTGGGCAGAACCAATGGACCGATCTCAAATATTGCGATTGGAGTACCCCAGGTAGCCGTTATCTCCCCCACGCTGTTCAACATGGCCATGACGGACCTCGTTCTTGCACTGGAGAAAAAAGCGGCAGAAGTAAATTTCACAATCTACGCCGACGATATTTCTATCTGGACGGCAACACGGGAAGCTAAAACACTTGCAAAAAGCACTTGGCATCACCGTTGGGTTCCTTAAGGAAACCGGGATGAAGATCTCGGTCGAAAAGACAAACTATCTGGTTGTTGCAAGCAAAAAAGCCAGGCAGCAGAACATCGGGGACACAATCTGCCTTCAGATTGAAGGAACGAGGGTCGAGAAAAAGCCCAGCATAAAAATTCTTGGCTAACCTTTGAAGAAACCGGGGGCGCTCATAACTGGGTAAAGTAAATGCAATCTCAATGGAAACAGGGACTCAGTTTGATAAGAAAAACGGCTAACAAGGTGTGGGGAGAAAACGAGAGTACCTTGAAGAATATGATACGAGCACTGCTCATTACCAGAGTCGTGTACGGGTTCAATTTCCTGCGGTTAACAAAAACCCAGATAAGAAAGCGGGGGATACTTAACCATTCAGCCATGAGAGTGGCTACTGGGCTGCCCCAAGTACACCAGACTTACCAATTTAAGAAGCGCCGCTCAGGTGAAATCCCCTGGAGGATATCACAAACGAAGCGAGGAAAGTCAGCTCGATAGACTCGAAAGAAAACCCGCCGGCCTTATCATCCTCCAATTGCTCGGAAAGACACCACAACAAAGCCTCCACATCGCACCACCGAACCCTCCCTGAAAGGATGAGGCGGTAGTGGATCTGAAACCCACACCGAAGAATCAAAACAGGATCCAATCAAAACGCAGGTAAAGCAAAGCAAAACGCCACATGAAACACGTGGAAGCAATTTTTAAACAGGGAACTGCGGAAGTAATTTACACCGACGCCGCCAGGAACGAGGACGAAACCACGGCCATAGCAATGCACTCAGCTGGCACCGGCGAATCAAAATGCAAATACCTGCTCAATAGCAGCAGCACAAAAACTGCTGAACTATTGGCCGTACACTGCGCCCTTGAAGAGCAGGTTCAGTGCAATCCGGCCGTACACATGTACGTCTACACGGACTCCAGCGAAGCAGTCAAGGCGCGCAGAAGGACAGACTGTAGGAATAAGGTTGCAAAAAACATCAAACATACAGCTAAGATCCTTCGCTTAAATTGGAGGCAGTTTGCACATCGCATGGATCCAAGGATACCAGGGCCGGTTTGCTCATCTTGCGGCTGCGGACGCGGCCGCGGCCAGGAGGGATTTTTACGTCACGTGACCAGCTCCATGGGGACAAGGAAGTACCTAGCGTCCCTGCCTAATGGCGGAGAGATCCGCATCGCTTCAAGCACAAAAGCCTAATTTCGCTCGCAGAAATTGATTGGAGGGACTTTCAACTGGAATCTAATTGACCGCCCCTTTATACTGTAGGAGCGGCAGGTAAAGTTTCGGCCAGGGAGGGCAAATAGGAGCCAAAATAAAGAAAAAACCTCACGAGATAAAAGCGTTAGAAGTATTTTTATATACCCCCGCCGCCGCCACGCCTCGCGCCTTCTGTTGTTGCCGAGAAGTTAAAGCGCCGGTACTTGTTGTCGCGGCGTGAAAGTTCCGGGTTCAAATCGCGCTAGGGACTTCTTTTTTTTTTTTTTGCATTTTGCGCGTGTCTTACTTTTTAACTGTGATCCTTTTTTTGGAAATCATCCACTTGCACTACTGCGCCTTACACGCTTTTACTGTTAGTCCCACCTGTTCAATCGAAACACCGGGTAGAAGAAAAAAAAGATCAACGCAAGTTAACGCGCTAATGCAATCATTTCGTAATGTTCATTAAAAGGAAACCAAGCTAACAGCATCAGTATGGCTTTCACACAAGCGGAGCCGAAACAAGCATCCTTTCCCCAGTGTTTACAATTTTATCGGTTTTCAAATAACGCTCTTGCTAGGGTGCCTACATGTCTGTCTGTCTCAGGGTGAAGACATCCATTGTTGCCCTGAATGTGCCAGCGCGTGACGCTCTCGCGCACTCATTGCGTGCCTTGGGTGGTAAAATTGCGTCTATGCATGAGCCAAAGCTACGCGCTCGAGCTGAGTGACACCAGATTGCGCGCACTTCAAAATGCATAAAAAAAAACATTTGGCGGAAAAATGGCTGAGATGTCACCACTCAAGCAAAAGCGCGCGTGTGTATGAAGGCACTCTAGCTCTTGCTATGATTCCTTTCAATTACAAGAGACGCCTATTTAGGACTAATAAAAACTGCAATTGTAGCAATTAAAAAAAAAAAAAAAAAAAACTAGCAGCTGTGGATACATTGATTGAGCGAAATCCTACAGGCAAGGCAACAGGTCAAACGTCTGAGAAAGTAGTAAAACTGAACTAAAAGAGATCATACTTCTACTTGCATGGAATGAGATAAAAATTATATTTATACTCTTTACATTTTGTTTTGGCAATCGTTTTGTAATATTAACACATTACTTGTTGAATTTTAGTTAGACTAGCAGACGATCACGACCAAATGCAAAAATGAATCAGTCATCGACCATCGCAAACCCTCTCTCTAATGCAAACACCTAAAATGACTTTGGATCAAGAAATGGAATTAATTATAATTAATTCCATTTGTTGATCCCAACGCAGTTTAGGTGTTTGCATGAGAGAGAGGGTGTGCGATGGTCGATGCCTGATTGATTTTTGCATTTGGTCGTGATCGTCTGCTATTCTACTAAAATTCAACAAGTAATGTGTTAATATTACAAAAAGATTGCCACAACAAAATGTAAAGAGTATAAATATACTTTTTATCTCATTCCATGCAAGTAAAAGTATGATCTCTTTTAGTTCAGTTTTACTACTTTCTCAGACGTTTGACCTGCTGCCTTGCCTGTAGGATTTCGCTCAATCAATGTATCCACAGCTGCTAGTCTTTTTTTTTTCTTGCTTGTTTTTTTTTCTTTTTTAATTGCTACGACTACAGCTTTTATTAGTCCTAAATAGCCGTCTCTTGTTATTGAAAGGAATCGTAGCAAGAGCGTTATTTGAAAACAGATAAAATTGTAAACGCTGGGGAAAGGATGCTTGTTTCGGCTCCGCTTGTGTGAAAGCCATACTGATGCTGTTAGCTTGGTTTTTTTTTTAATGAACATTACGAAATGATTGCATTAGCGCGTTAACTTGCATTGATCTTTTTTTTCTTCTTCCCGGTGTTTCGATTGAACAGGTGGTACTAACAGTAAAATCGTGTAAGGCGCAGTAGTGCAAATGGATGATTTCCAAAAAAGGATCACAGTTCAAAAGTAAAACACGCGAAAAATGCAAAAAAAAAGAAAAAAAAAAAAGAAGTCCCTAGCACGATTTGAACCCGGAACTTTCACGCCGCGACGACAAGTACCGGCACTTTAACCTCTCGATCACAACAAAAGTTTTTTTTTTTCTTTAATGCATGGAAATTTTTACAAGTGACATAACATGTTGATACTTATGCGTATATACAGTTATAGGACATTCATTTTCACACCTTATTTACATACCAATGTCACACACACACACCTTATATATGGCATCTTATACATGTGGCCAGTGGATGTGATAAATTGAGACAGAAATTGCGTCGACGAGTGTAACACAATGGTCACAGAAGGATATATCGTCAATAGAGCATTCAGAAATCTGGGAGACCCAGACATGCATCGAACAGGGCAAACCACTCTGGTTGGCTGTGAGGTGAAGCGTATACGCTCCTCACTTGCGCTACCAGTTCTAGAAAAAGAGATTTTGTCGTACGGGGTTTCTCTGCGTGTCTGTCGATCATGCGACATTTCCATAGACTATGAAGTCCCAACAGAGCGAACATGTCGTACGGGACGGTTTCTTTCTCAGCGAACGGGAGGAAGCGGAGACTGTAGTCATTAAGAATTAGATCTTTCTTTAGCGTGCGTTGTAGAACATTCCAAAACAAAAACGCGTCGTTGCAATAAATAAAACAGTGCTCTATGGTCTCTGGCTTGTTACAGAGTCTGCAATTAACAGTCCACGGTACAAATATTCCTTTTTCCTGGAGGTAAGTTTTTACTGGTAGGGTTGATGTATGCAATTTGAAGAAGAACGTCTTGGTTGAGGGAGGCACGCCCATTTTTTTGACTCTTTTGAGAACATCATTGATGGGTTCTAGCGTGAAACGGGTACGATAGAGTGGTAGTGAAAACAAGCTTTCCGTAATATTCCTTGACAGTGTCTTCCTGGACACGCTAAACAAATATTCCAATGAAAACCGTGTTTTCAGGAAATTTAAGGTATCGACAACTTCCTTTAAAAATCCCCAGGGCCTATTTTTCGACGTTTCGCCAGTTGAAACAACAAGATAATTTAAACTCTCAGCAAGGCGTGATTGGAGTATAACTCTAAGAAACTCGTGATTGGCATTTTTAAAGAAAAAGAATCTTGACACTAACTGGCGGACAAATATGTGACACAGTCCTAAACCACCGGATTCGAGAGGGAGGAATAGGTTGTCCCTTTTAACACGTTCCCACGTTGAGCACCATATCAAAGTGGCGAATATTCTATGGAATTTTTGGATGTCTGTTCGAGCGCAATGAAGCACTTGAAGAACGTACATAAGCTTTGAAGCGAGGAATATATTACAGACACTTGCCCTAGTAAAGATGGAAATATCTCTACCCTTCCACGCATCAGCCTTCCTTTTCAGTGTGGTCGCAAGGGTGGACCAGTAGGTCGAGCTACTACGAATTTGTGAGAGCGGTACTCCGAGATATGTGATCGGACCCTGATTCCACTCTATCCCTGCAAAAAAACGAGGTTTTGTGGCCCAGGAACCGCACCAGAATCCGTTGCATTTGGATGGATTCACTGAAGCCCCAGTGACTGCGCAGTAATGCGCTGTTTGATCAAGCGCTTTCTCGACACTCTTCTTGTCAACACAAAAAAATCCAACATCGTCTGCGTATGCGAGGACTTTTACCTCGACATTTTCCACAGAGTACCCACGAATACATTCTATTTTCAGGATGCTGAGGCATAAGGGCTCTAAATACAATGCAAAGAGGAGGGGAGATAGAGGGCAGCCCTGCCTTACGGAAGATTTGATCTTAATTTCATCAGAAAGTGTGTTATTGATTTTCAGTCTTGTCGAACTATGCATGTAGCAAAGTCGAATACCTTCCAAAAGTGTGTCTCCCAGGTTTACGTGCTCAAGAAGGGCAAATAGAAATGAATGACTCACGCGGTCAAAGGCTTTTGTAAGGTCTATTTGTACAAGTGCAACCTGGTCATTCCTGTCTGACACAGACTCTAGGACGGAACGGGCAACATGTACGTTCGTTTGAATAGATCTGCCCCGTATGCCACAAGTTTGGTGCTCACCTACCAGCTTTTCTATTACGCACTGAAGTCTTTCATTGAGAACTTTAGCGTAGATCTTATAATCGACGTTGCAGAGTGATATTGGTCTGTAGTTTTCCATCTTTTTAAGCATTCCAGGATCTTTTGTTTTTGGCAGCAATACCGTGTGTCCACGGTAAAATGAAGGGGGAAGAGTTTTCTGAATGTAGGATTCTTCAAATATAGCGAGTAAAACAGGAGATATAATGTCTTGGAACTTTTTGTAAAATTCACCGCTTAGTCCGTCGGGTCCTGGTGTTTTCCCATTTGGGAGAGATTTAATGGCGGCCTTAATTTCGTTTAATGTTATGGGGCCTTCAATTAAAAGGCGATCTTCCTCGTCAAGTTTTGGCATCTCTGTTAGTAGCTGTTCGATCTCAGTCTTGTCTTTTGTGGGTATTATTGTTCCAAATATATTTGTATAGAAGTGGTGAAAAGATTTGACTATTTCAGTTGCGTCGGTGAGTATCAAACCATCTTTGTTAATTTCTACTATTTCCTTTGACAGCGCGTTACGTCTTTCGTCATCCAAAGATCTTTTGGTAGGTTGTTCGCCGAGGAGAAAGCGTTTCTTCCGCGAGCGAATTAATGCTCCGCGGTACCTTTCGGTTTCATACTTTTGAAGCTGGGCTCGTACTATGTTAACATCGTCGCTGTACGCGCCTGGGTTTAAGCATTCAAGCTCGTGAAGGGTTACTAAATTTTTAAAAAGGTCGCGCTGCTGTTGTTTGTTTATATATGATGCAATTGTAGCGCGTTCGATTGCGATGTTTTTTGCTTCTTGTTTGAAACTATCCCATTTTGCAAAGATGTGCATGTCAATGTTTTGCAATGTATTCGACAAAAGTAAGGAGATGTTAGTTGAAAATTGCTCATCACTTAGAAGCCTCAGGTTGAGCTTCCAGTGTTCCCACTGCTGATGAACACCTCGGAGTCTGCGCGGCTCAAAGCAGACTGATACCAGGCAGTGATCGGAAAAGAAAACTGGTTTGACTTGGTAATTGCTCATTGAGTTGATTATATCACCTGAGACATATATTCTGTCTAATCTTGCGTGAGATGTTCCTTGGAAATGGGTGTAGCGTATCGATTCACCTTTTTTATAAGCTACATCAACAAGGTTATGGTCTTGAAGCGTGCTCCGTAGAGCGGCGGCACTTCCGTCATACCTAGTTTGTGACACCGATCGGTCGTCTGCACTGCAAACGCAGTTAAAATCTCCCATCGCAACTGTTGTTCTATTTGTGTCGAAAAGCGGCGAAACTAGTTCATAGAATGATGTTCTTTCTCTAGGGGTATTTGGAGCATACAGGCAGATAAAGCGCCAATTTATCTGCCTAAAACAAATGTCGCAGGAAATAAGCCGCCCTTCCAGGTCATTTAGAATGGAAACTGATGATAACTCAAGCTGTTTACGAAAAAAAAGAAAACATCCGGCGGAGACTCCTTTGGCTTGGCTAACGCAGATTTCGTAATCCTTAAGAAAAGGTTCTAATGCGCCCGCGATGCCTTCATCTGTAGATAATTTTGTCTCCTGTATTGCCGCAACGTCCACTTTCTCTTTTTCGAAAAGACGCAACAGCTGAAACTGCTTCCTTCTAGACCCTAAACCTCTTACATTTAGCGTTAGAATATGTAATGGAAGGGCGGGATACATCAGGACATTTTAGGTGTTGTTCTCTGTACCCTTGAGGTTCCCCAGTAGCTTGGAGTATGGCTTGTGCCGCACCCCTGCCGGCTGGCGGTCTTTCTTGGACCTCTTGGAAGGGAGCTCGTCGGCAGAGGAACTTTTGGTCGGGAGGGGCGTTGAGGTTCCTTCTGGTTCATCGGATGGTCTCGATGTCTCAGAGGCAGGTACGATGGTGGTGGGTTCCACGTCTACCTCGTCATGCTCTTCGTCACACTCTGTATCCACTTCGCCGACAATCGTTGACTCTGATGATGAGGATGACGCGCCGTCCTCGTCAGGCGGAGGTAGCTCCGAGGGGCCCCCAGGGTCATCCTTGCATTCGTTGATGGCAGGTGCTGCTCTTGGGTGCTCCTGCTCCACGAACTTTTCGATCGTTGATGCCGGTGGTGTGTGCCCCGATGCGTCAAGGACCTCCGTGACATCCATAAGCAGCTCGCTCTGTTCTTCGGCCTCCTGGGTTCTTGGTCCAAGGAGCTTACTTGCATACGTTGTGACGCAAGTATCAGTCGTGTGTCCGTACCGTCCACATTTAAAGCAGCGGGGGGTCTTGCACTGGCGGCGAACATGCCCCACTCTGTTACACCTGAGGCATAGAGGTGGGCGGCCTGGCACGAGTAGGAGGCACTGGCATCCAAAAATCTTCAGGAGATGTGGCACCTTCTCAATCGTGATGTCGTCGTGAAGTGTGATGTTCACTTCTCTGTTTAAAGTGTCCATATGTTCCATGCCGGGGCATCTCCATTTCTCCCGGCTCATGCTCCACACGGTTCCGTAGGCCTGCAGGGCCTCAGCGACGCGTCGGTCTTCAAGATGGTCTGGTAGCCAAATTATTTTTATCTTGATGTCGCGAGTGTCTGGGTCTATAACCAGACATTTTCGTCCTTTCACGAGAAGTTCTCTTTGTTGACACAGCTTCGCTTTCGCGAGCGCGTTTGTGCAGGTGACCATCCAAATGTGACTCATTTGGTATTGTCCGGTTGCCTTTACATCTTGGAGATCTATTACGTCTCTGAGGGCGTCGCGAAAGTCTGGCGCTGAGTAAGGCCTAGCGCTTATATCTGCATGCAGGAATACGGAGTTTAAAATCAGGTTGCCTGTTGGAAAACGGGGAACGATTACCTTGTAGTCGGTTGTACTGTTGTCAGACGATACGGGGTTAACTCGGCCAGTGGCCGATACGGTGTTTCCACCAGACATCATATTCTTTGCTGCCGTTCCGAACGGCTTCTTCTTCCTCCTCCCCGATCACAACAAAAGGCGCGAGGCGTGGCGCCGGCGGAGGTATATAAAATACTGCTACCGCTTTTATCTCGTGTGGTTTTTTCTTTATTTTGGCTCCTATTTGCCCTCCCTGGCCGTAACTTTACCTGCCGGTCCTACAGTATAAAAGGGCGGTCAGTTAGGTTCCAGTTGAAAGTCCCTCCAATCTGTTTCTGCGAGCGAAATTAGGCTTTTGTGCTTGAAGCGATGCGGATCTCTCCGCCATTAGGCAGGGACGCTAGGTACTTCCTTGTCCCCATGGAGCTGGTCACGTGACGTAAAAATCCCTCCTGGCCGCGGCCGCGTCCGCAGCCGCAAGATGAGCAAACCGGCCCAGGGAATCCAGGGAAACGAGGAGGCCCACGAGACCACGCGGATTGAGCTACAAGCATCCCACGCCGCATCAGGTCACGAGGGCTCCCCCGTCACAACCCAACCAGAGGATCTGGACTTCGATGAACTGAAAGAGGCAAGTAGGACAGCTCGGAAACAACGATTGGCACCGTTGCTGCCAGAAGAGGCTTACCCTCTTCCATCCAATTACTCAAGGTGGGGGAGGGTATTCATTCGACGTATCGCCACCAACACAGCCCTAACACTTGTGCTGAGAAGAACATTTTATAGGTAACACGAAGAAGACGATCCCGGTCCCGACTTTAACTGCAAGACTTGCGAAACCCCGGCTACTTGTAAACATCTAATATGGGACTGCGAAGCAAACAAAAAACTAAGACGCACTCCTCAGCAATTCGGAAGGTGCACGACCTCAAACATACGAAGAGTGAATAAACCCCCTGAAAGAAAACGCAAACAGGATCAGGATCCTGGACTCTTTACTCACCTACCTTACAGCAGTGAACTTCGCAGACCTCATCTAACCCACCTTTCCTCCTCACATCCTTCATCTATCCCTAATCATCCCGACACACCAGACGACTTCAGACAAAATGTGTGGCGGACCCCAATCATTTTAATAAACGTTTTATGATCTGATCTGGGCCCGTTCTGTGCTCCTTCATGTCAGTGTGCTGTGATGTTATCGTCATATGTGTATGGTGCTAAATATCCTCTTTGCAATGCCTACAAAGGCCAAAATGACGTCAGCCGACCCTGACTCACGCATTGGACATGAGAACTTCGTCAATCGGACGTATGCGCTCGTCAACAGTCAATTCGTCGACGAATATTTGAATTCGCGTTCGTGGCAAATGACTGCCTTGACGGAACTTATCATCACTTGCGAATGCCAAGTTCTAAGGTGTGCTTAAAAAGCACGGTAGAAGCTTGGGGTCATCGCACCGGTGCCCTACCTAGCAAGTCACGACCGCGTGATTTCACAGTTCTTTTTTGAGTTAAGGATTACAGCTTAGGAAGAGGAAGTTCAAAAAATGTGTTCTACACCAGATAAAACTTTTAACTTTTTGAATGCTGGTGGACTACCGGATGACCACTTGGCCTGTCGGCAAGAGCACCTCATATCCGGCGTCCGTCTGTTTTGATGGAGTTAACAATCCTCTGGAAACCACCAT